TAACCCTAACTTGCGTGCCAGATTGCTACAATTGATCAGTATCAATGAGGTGTACGCTATAAAACGAAAGAAAACAAAACCTGGGCAAATAACACTGCAATTTTGGCTTTTTGTCCAATCGTGTAAATTTCGTGGTTGGTAAATCCACAAAATAACTAACATTGGCCACATTTTCGGACAGGTCGGTTTGGTAAACACTTCCCAATTAACTGTTTAGTTATTCTGCTTAATCCATCCACGAATTATAGGGTAAAAAGTGAAGTGACTTGTGGAATGAGCGTTAACGGCATGCAGGGTTTGATAATATAATGTAATTTAGGAATGATCAGCCCGTATCCACAGAGCAGTGGCAGTGGATCATCAAGTCCTGTGGCTGTTGGAGCAGTGGGCCTTGGTGACCTAATCCATGATTTCACTGCTGGGAATAGTACATGTTTTGACATTTACAATTTATGTTGAAAAGGCCATCATGACGCCCACACACGTCTGTCCACAAGGCGGAAAAGGTTTTACTTTGTTTAGTGAGCATTGGATTGGGTTAGTGAGCGTTGAATTTGGCTACAGTCTAAGCCTGTTCACGGTGAAATTTTCTACGTAGGCCTTTTGGCCTACCCTGCGTGAACGCACGATACTGCAGCATGCTCCGTTTTGCATTGTTTATGGCATGACCCAATATTGTGAGTGCCCAATTCCCTCGAGTCAAAGTATGGAATTTTGTAACTGGTTAAAGAAGGTATTTGCTTTATGTGGAAGAGCCCATCTTTTCATTGTTCTTCGTAACGAAGCGGGAAAGCAAACGTTTGCGGCCGTTAACTAGGTCATTATTGATTCGTGCCAGTCTTTAAAATTTACATTTCACAAAAGATGTTTACCCAATCATTTAAAAGAAAACTATAGGAGTTCGCTAGGAGTGGTCATACATCTACCTCGATACAGAGTTGCCTATTTGTTGTAGAGAGAGGTACCGAGTAACAAGAAGCCGTTCCAGAATAATGCCAAACAAAACACTAAATCGTGTAAGTTTTACTGCCCTAACGTTGGGAAATTTTGATTTCTACGCAAACCAAATGGATGGGCAGTAGTGAATAGCCAACCTTTTAATAGCTCGTTTACCTTACCTTTGAGCAAAGACATTGTCTAAGGCCTATTGGGCAAAAAATACCCAGGAGCTGATGATGTTGGATATGTACTAACGTTAGGCAAAAATTGGGGTACAAGTTTTACCCAAGGTTCTCACAGCGTAACTGGATACTTACCAAGTTTACCATGGGAAGAGTATTGTATTCAGTAAAAACTGTGTCATTTGTACTTCTTGTATTCGTTAATTGGAGTTAAGTTGAACAGGCTTGCATAGGAGTAGGCAAGAAAAGGGATTAACATTTTTAGAATTCAAGAGGGCACTTTTTCACTTTTTCCCAAGTTGTTCCATCCGTTTTGAAAGGTCAATTAATTTACAGCCCAAGAGGTGTTGTCTGAAGATTTTATTCAATGAAAAATCGTTCATTTCAGCCATTTATCGACGTAAGCCTGACTACGTTGGTTCCATATACAATTCTATTTTAATGGCACTCTTCAAAAACTAACATTTGTCGTAAGCGTCGATAATTAATTTCGGATCTGAGTAAACCGATGTGAGAGAAAGTATAGTATTCTCGATATTCTTCTTCAGGCGAGGTTTAATGAGGGTCCCAGTATTTCACTGTATTCTGTGAATTTTAGTGTCTCGGTTACATTTCATGGGCCAAACATCTCGGAAAAACGTCGTTCTCATGTGTCCTTGAGAAAAATGTAAGGCTCCAATTTCGAACAAAATTTGCTTATTCTAGCGGACGGCATTTAACGTAGAAGATAACAAGACACACCTTCGAATATTAGTTCTCTTGTTAACAGTATTTTATGATGTTGCATATCACATCCTTGTGTAACACCAATGACAAAGACAAAGTTTCCTTCAAGTATAAGGAACTTGGACGTTGCTTGGGACTTCAAATCAAAGGAATTAAAACATTTATGAAATTTTCGTCACGGCAATTTCAAATAGTGCGAAAATCGTGGTAGCAAACCGGTGAGCAAGAAATAAAATAGACTGGAGAACCATCTGTTGCCACGCCATGCTATCATTCGTTTATTCTTTGTGCGACATCAGTTGGGGCAAAAAGTTTATCTACGATTGGTAAAGAAAAACAGTTTTCCTCAATTTTTCGGTGTTTGAAATAGTTTTGCAACTTTTTCTTTCTGAGGCCAGACAAAGTGTATCTGAACGTAACGTTCATACTCCAACTGAAAA